AGTGTGCAGCAAAAGGATGGAGATGCCTATTGTACTGGCTGCTTTGTGTATACCATGTATACTAAACATCGATCTCTGCTGTTTGTGCATCAATAGCAAACCTGAAATAAAACCGTATTTAAAGATCCACCTTGCTCCAGGGGGCTGTTTGTGCCCCCTTGTGTGTTTGCTTGGGCGGCGTTGGCAGAGTACATGCTGGCTTATTGCAGCCCCAGCTCATTAACTGGAGGAAAAAAATTGGAAGGTCCGAACACATTATTCTGAATATTATGGCAATTTGTCTTGCTTCTGCTGTAGAATTTGTAGTTGGCAAAAAAAAAACAAACCCAAAACATCATGTTGGATGAATCCATGCAATGGCAGGACTCGCCCGCACCTGGGAGCGATTGCAGCGAGGCTGTGCCACGAGGCTGGTTTTGCTTTAGCCTGGGATCGGGATATTCTTCAGTCAGAATCACAGCAATATAGAACATAGAGTTAAATGGATGAATGCAAACTGGAACAGTGCTCTCACATCCTGGAACAACTGTGTCCGCGCATACCACGAGCTGGGAGTACCCATTCCCGACGTGCTCCTCTGGCGTCATTCATTCCGTTCACAGAGCAAAGCAGGAGCCTCTTTCCCACCACCTCCAGTGGGCCCAGGGAAGGCTGGGGGGTTGCTAGGTGCTTACAAAACACTCAGCAGCTCCCAGCCCTCCTCTGGGCCAGCGGTGAGATAAGGCACTGCCTGCTAATGGGCCACGTCTGCTGAGGGATGCCTGATGTCACTGCCTCAGCTTTTATTTCCCCCTGAACAATTGCAACTTTCTGTGCAACTATGCTGTAACACTTTGGCAGTTTTATGAGGTTTTGTTTTTTGCATAAGGCAGAGCACATTTCCAATACCAAAGCAAAGCACAACAGCCCTGACTGAACACCTTCCCCTCTGCAGCCCGGTGACAGACAGCTCTGCCTCACCCCATGAGAAGCTCAGTTTCAGCCCCAAGAAATCCCACACTGCAGCAGCTCCAACTGCACACAGCTTTATTAACAACAGAGGGCTTGCACTTCCGGGGCTCATCGATAGCCATATGTAACCTGAACAAATCACCCAGAGAGATAAAAACGTGCACAAAGGAAACATTTACCTGGGAGGGAAGGAAGAAGCCAAGCGCTGATGCCAGAACCCCAGTTCAAAGGGAAGGTCTGTGTTTAGCCAAGTTGTGGTCTGTTTGCTCAGGGCCCTGCTTTGCTGGGAAGGCTGCAATTACTTAACGGCTCAGGGATAAGGGCAGGCACCTGGAGTGGGGTGGGGACAAGGTGAGCTCCTGGGGAGGGAGGAGGAAAGCTGCAGCCATGTGGAAGTATGGGGGTGGCAGACATGGGGATGCAGGGCACGTTGCTTGTTCCAAACTGCTGGGACGCTTGCATTTCCCCCATTATTTTAGCCTCCCACCCCTTTCTTTGTTCCTGTATGCTTCTCCAGACATCAGCTTTTGCAGAAAGGTGCTGGGTTGGGCAAGATTCTGCTCTCACCCCCTGTACCTTTCCTTACAAACAGAAAGCAAAAAGCATGAGAATAGAATCCACCCTCGTGGCATAGCTGGTATTCACAATGAGACATTCAGAGCTTCAGCCTCTTATAGCAGCACCTATATTGTAAGTCATGCTCCTTACACAATGTCACACACTGGGGTCTTACTGGGCAGGAGGGTCCCATGGTGCCAGATTGAGTGTTGTGCCCCAAAGCTGCCCCTCATTGAGCCCAGGTACTGAGGATCCCTTTGGAGGAGGGAACACCCCCTTTCTGTTATCATTGCCATTAATGTTGCTCTTTCTTTCTGCCTGGAGACAAAAGCACCACCAGACGTATTGGGAACAAACAGTGCTAATGGGGAACACGTGGCCCAGCCAGCAGCAATGCTCACGTGAAAATACTGATGTGGAGCAGCGATGGGGCACAAAAATGCATTTCTATGCCAGGATAATTGATTCCCCCTTTGCCACCATAGGCTGCCGGTCACTTGCAGCAGACTAAACTTCCCCCCATCATCTTCCCCAGCCAGTAAACTGACACGTTCCCACAAGAATCCATGTGAGTTTTGTTTTTTTTCCCCTGTATTTTTTCTAATTATACAACTCAACCAGCGCCAAAATCTGTCTGGCCAACTCGAATCTGGTAGCAGAGCTCCTGTACACAAGGCCAAGAGAATCACCTCCTTGCTGAAGGGCAGCAGGTTGGGAATGTACTCAGACAGAGCTCTTTGCAAGGCTCCAAACAGAGATTTCTATGCATGCATACACCTCCAGAGGAAGGTTGGCATTGGCTGCCCATGTCAGCACTGTGCCTGGAGGTGAAGGCATGAACTGAGCCCATCAGGTGGCTGCTAATGACTGCAGCCCTTAGCTAGGGAAAGCACCTGGAAATGGCAGCATGGGGCAGTGGTGTGAGCCCCCAGTTCCTCCTGAGGACAGTGCTGTTGGGTTTGGTGTAATTAATATCGAGTTCAGCCTGGGGGACAGAAGGGCTCCCAAGGGCTTATTTAATGTGGCTTGATTCTTTATTTTTTGAAGTGTTTTAGTTTCTCCCTTGTAAATGAATTTAGCGCTGAGGAGAGGTGTTGGATTGGCAGCTCTGGAAATACAAGCCCTGAAGGGCAGATGTTTTGGAGTCCTGCAAGTAACAGCACTGCATGCGATCTGGGTGTGAGGGCAATGACTGGCAGTCACTGCAACAGCTGCTATGTGCTCTGCACTCATAGATACTGCTGTGAGAAAGCAGAGCACACTGCCCACAGCCACCAGGCACTTGGGGACACTTCTCAGTGTCCCTGCACTGCTTTGGCCTGTCATGCAATGCCATATTGTTTGCACTGCATTCCAAGTGCAGTGTGCAGGCTCCAAATAGCAGAAATAGGTGTTGGCAAGATCCTGGTCACTCCAGGGACTGAATCATAGAATCATAGAATCATAGAATCACCAAGGTTGGAAAAGACCTAAAAGCTCATCCAGTCCAACCGTTCACCTATTACCAATAGCTCCCACTAAACCACGTCCCTCAACACAACGTCCAGCCTTTCCTTGAACACCCCCCAATGACATGTGCTGTCCAGAAGCAGCCCCATGTGCTGTGTGGATGCGGTCAGGACATCTGGAGTGGGGATGGAGGGGAAAGTGCAGTGAGGTATGGTGATCTACGTGGGCATCTCGTACACCCAGGGAGTTTGGGAAAAGCCAGCATCCCCATGCTCTGAGTGAAATTTCCTGCAAACACCCAGGGTCAGGGCTCTGAGCACCTCGTGGAGCTGTGGGTGTCCCTGTTCAGTGCAGAAGAGATGGGACTGGATGGCCTGGAAAGGTCCCTTCCAACACAAACCATTCTATGACTCCATGGTTCTAAGAAAGTAGGGTGTCCAAAGGCTTCATCTACCTTTGGGCTCCCTCTGGATTTAGGAGGAGTTTTGGGTTTTGGGGTATCACCATGGTGAAGCACTGCCTTGATTGGGGCAGTCCCAAGGTGCCCATTAACCCCTGCCTTCAGCACTTACTTTTGAGGTGAGGAAAAACAACCACAGAGGGAAACAGGGACTGAAAGACAAGGAGAACCTGGACGGTGCTGTTTTATCCCAAAGGCAGAGAAAAGGAAACAAGGCAAAGGAATGAAAACAAGGGAAACCTCGAGAGGGAGACATGCTTGGCAGCCCCTACTGCCTCGCTCTGCAAACACGGAGCAGCTGTTATCCCACCTGGGCCTGGATGCTGGCTTCTCTGCATCCCTGGAGCGTCACGGAGCAGCGGAGATGCTCCACGAGTGCTCAGGGCACAGGTAATGCACAGCCCTGAGAGGTGATGGGGAGAAAGGAAACCACTTTTATGTTGTTCAGAGTGAGCTCTTTCTTTCTCTATTTTAATTTTCGGTTGTATGAAGCTGTGGGGAATGTGCTACCTTTTGAAAAGGAACTCTTTGGGTTGTTCCCTTTTTCTTTGTGATCTACATTACCAGTTTTGGGGTTTCTCAGGGCCAAACTGCATGTGCCATCACCCCTGTGCCCAGCAGAAATCACCAACCCATCATCCCCAGTTCCCATTGCCCTCGCTGGCTCTGTATTTAATGCATTACATGGGAAAGCAGAGCTGGTCACTTGGCCCCAGTGGTGGCGTTGGGTTTTTCTTTGTGGTTTAAGGCCAAGCTAAAGGGCAAAGGGATTTGGGAAAAGAGTGGTGCTTCGGGGTGGGCGCTGGCTCTGGGTAATCCCTAATCCCACAGCATGTGGAGAAATCCTGGCTTTGGGACACCACAAACACCATCAATCCACGTCAGCGTAGCGGGGTGGAAACAAAATAGGGGGAATTTGCTTCATAGGAGGGGAAGAAGCACGAGACAAGGTTTGAATCGCAGGGGCTGCGTGTGAAGGAGAACAGAGCTGGCAAAAATGAAGGGAAACACTAAAACCCCTCCATCTGTGGGAAAAGATGGGGTGGACGCAGCCCCTCTGAGGGACAACCTAAAATCTGGGGGCTGCCTGCAATGGAATGGTTCCTATTTGTCTGGGGAAAAGCAACGTCTGCTCCAATTAGCGCGTCGCGTGCGCGTGCGGGGGAGGAGATGTTTTTGTTTCCTCTTAGGAAGAAAGAAAAGAATTAATAACAACAACAACAACAACAACAAAGCACGAAACGAGCTCTGTTGCAAAGCCAGAGTGCTGTGTCAGAGAGACCGGGATCCAAACGGTTTCTCTGAACCCTCCAAGAGGAACGGAGCATCCAACGCGGCTGGAAAACGGAGCACTACCTCCTAAAGCTGCCCTGGGGGAGGCCTTCAGTTGTTGAGGATGATTTTACAACTCCCCACAGCTGGGAGTTCAGGAGCAGATGCCGACGGGGGCTCTGGAAGGGTTAAAACCATTCCGCCTGTTCGCACTGTTCCTTCTTAATATCGCCCTTGAATAAACAAACAGGCGAATCCCACCCTCTCCCCGGAGACTCTTACTTGGCTTGTTTCAGAGAACAAATGATAATTATTTGCCTTCATTTATTTATTTATTTAAAATTTCATTGTCTCCTTTCGGCAGCCATCGGGATTGAGGAAACCGAGTGACAAAATGAACAAGGGAAGCCATAAACTCGAATTAAACAAATCACTGATAAGCCCAGAGCAGAAAGGAGATAAAAACCCGATGACATTCCCCTCGTGGCACAGAGGCTGGAGATGTTGATAAAGCGCAGGGAGACGGATGGATGCAGCCAATGGATGCCAGTAGGTTAGGAGATGCAGGCGCAGCCGTGTCCTCCTTGTTCTAGACATTAGGACTGGCTTTTTGGGGATAGGTCAGGAAAATATCAGATAGATCAGGACGTTTGCAAGAAATTCCATTGCTTTGCTGTAGCAGAGGCTGGTTGGCTGCAGGGGATACGCAAAGCACTTCACATCCTCAGGATTCAGCCCTTCGTCTGCTCCTCTGCTTCTTTCCAAGGACCGGTTTCAGTTTCTGGGGAGGAGAGCAGTGCTGCATCACACAGCTCCCCAAGGGGGGTGGGGGGGGTCACCATTCCTGGGGGTGTTGCAGAGCTGTGGGGATGTGGTACTGAGGGATGTGGGCAGTGGGCACACTGGGTTGGGCTGCGTGGGGATGAACAAAAAGAGTAAAGGAGAGGTGGTGCTGCTGTGGATGTGATGGCATTCATGCGGTTGGAGCTGCACTGAGCATCCCCCAGGCATTCCCACACCTCAGCAAAGAGACTCCACGTTTTCCTTCTTTGGGAATGGGATTCGTGTGCCTTTCCCCTAATCTCCCATCTGAGAGCCCCTCAGAGCCGATAGTGAAAGACTTCCCCCTGCATCAGGATTGCTGCTTTGCGAGATTAAAAACTGCCCCTCAAGGAATCCCCCAGCCATAACAAAGCCATTTGCTAAGATAACATTAGTTCAGCATTGGGGCTGCTCATGGCACGCTCAGAGGAAGCACTCGGATGGCTCCTGTGGCCCTGACCAAAACCAAATGCATCCACAGACCAAATGGACCACCTGGCACGTCCCATGGATGCCTTAAGTCACTTACTGGGTTGAACTGGGAAAATCACTTCTAGACATGCCTAATGGAGGGAGAAAGCAGAGCACAAGTTTGTGCCCTTTTGCACGTGATGGCAATGGGATGCTTTCACAGCAAGAGAGATCTGGGGACAGGATGGTGGGAAGAGCTGCTACTGTTGGATGGGGTTGCATCACTGCAGGGGAAGGGAAAAGGAAAACAGGAGTTTGGAATCAGGGTGAAATTCCTCCTGGCTCTCTGCTTTCTTCAGAAATAAAAATACCCCAAATAGCCTGAGAACGAGGCTGCTCAGCAGATGGTACTTTGCCCCTTTTGGGATGCTTTCTATCTTTGCAGCTGGGAATCCATTATGGGAATCTGATCCCAGGAGGCTGCAGAGCTGCAGGCCCAGGAGCTTGGGTAGCTTGGGAAATTTGCAGTTGTGCCCTGCCCTGAACCTTGGATGTGAGCCCAGCTCTGATCTCGCTCCATCCGAGTGCCACTGAGCCCCTTCCCCAGGCTGCAGCTCCCCAGCCAGCCAAGCTCTACAAAGCCACCCCAGGTCCCACAGTCTCTTTCTGTCCCAAACCATGTCCCAGTCCCCAGCTTCTTTGGCGGACTGCTGCATCCAAGCACGCACCATATGTGCTCTCATCAAAGCATTTCCCAGTTTCCTTTCCCAGCACTGGTGGCTTCCTCCAACCTTTTCTTGGCTGTCCCTATTCCTGGAGACATCTTGTGCTCAGCACACTCTATGGATGAATTTTCCATGAATTTTTAGGAACACTTGGTGAGAAGTGCAGTGATTCTGTGACCAAAGCTGGAAGCAGATGTTGGAGAGATGCATTTTGGTGCAGTCACCAGTCACCTCAGCTCAGCATCTCCTGCACTGCATTTGGGAGCAGGAGCAACAGGGACGAGATGTTTTCAGAGCCATGAGACATTGTGGGAAAGCCAGCTGAGCTCTGAACAGCTTCTTCCTTTGGGTTTCCTTTGAAAGTAACTCCCAGTTTAGCGCCTGCTTTGCAGAGCTGTGTCTGCAATGGTGCCTGAGCCCAGAAATCAGGGTGTGATTTGGGGTTGTGCTGTAGGCTGCAAAGGATGGAGAGGAAGACTGCAACCCTTGGGATGCTCTCAAGTGCTTAAATGGTTTGTGTTTACGAGAGCTAAAAATATTTCCTCAGGGAGGGAGAAGGGACAGAAGGTCTGTTTGCTCTGTTATCACTTGTAGGCTCTGTTTTGGAATGAGGCTTAAATAGAAATAACATGGTATTAAAGGTTAAGTAAAACACAATCAAGCAGCATCCCTGCGTGGCACAGGGCAGCTGGGATGAGCAAAGCCCCTGCATGGCCCTGGGGACAGAATAGGGACGGGGATCCCAGCCCTCAGAGCTGCCACGCATCCCATGGCCATGCTGGTACCTTGCTCAGCAATGCCTGGGTTCCTGCCCTGCACTGCAAACTGCAGCTGGGCCAGGAGTTTCTTGATTGAGCTCTTCTTCCCCCCGGACTCAGATGAAAAATAGGAATCTAGGGACACTGCCCATGGGAAGAGGTTCTGATGGATGCTCTGGAAGCAAGGGGCTGGGTTCTCCTCCAGATGGGTCACATCACCCACGGTGAGCTCAGGGTTTGCAGCAGGGTGAGAGGGGGGCAGCGCTGCTCAAGCTTTCTTTTTAAAGGGCATTCTGTTTCCAGTGTGAAAAGGGAATAAATCAATGACTCTCATCGTCCTGAGAAAGGCATGTCTGTGCCCCTGCACCATGAGACCCTTGTGTTGCCCCCTGTGACACTGTATTGGTGATGCACCAACAGACACAGGCTGGGCATTGTGCAATGTGTTCCCAACAGCCCAGCAGTGCCCAGCCACGCTGCAGAGCATCAGCACGGCCCCCCCAGTGCCATGATCCCCTTGGGCAATCAATGGGACATTGTCTGGGGAGAGCTCTGGGTGACATACAGCAGAGTGGAGCGGTGGCACAGAGGTCAGGAACGTGAGGACGGTCCAAGTGCCTTTCCCCTGCGCTCATTAATTCTATACATTTTGCATAAATTCCAGCACAACGAGGAATTTGGGAGTGCTACCAACCCATCTGCTTTGAACCGGCACTCTGGTTCGCAGGAAGGAATGTTACTGGGAACAACTCCGTGCCTAAAATTGGGTCTGATCCAAATCTTGCTGCTTCACCCTTCTTTCTGCTTTGAGCTGAGACCAAACCTGGGACTGAGAAGAAATTTGGGAAAGAGAAGAAAGTTGAGCAACCTGAGGCTGTATTCACATCTGAGCCTCCCAGCTTACCCCGATGCTTCCAGCCCCTTGTAGATGGATGGGCAGTGCTGGTGATGGAGGAGACAGAGCCAGATCCTGGCTGGGGAGTTTAGAGAAAGAACTTGTAAATGGAGAAAGTGATGAGCACACAGGGATGCCTTTCCAACAGCCAGGAGCAGAAGAAATAGGGAGCTGACACCCATCTTGGAGGGTCATGCGTCTCCTGATGGGCCAAAGGACCATCTGGTGAAAGGATGGGGTTTTTAGAAGATGCCCATGGCAGCAAGAAGGCAACACAGGGACTGAGTGGCTCTGCTTTCCAATTCCTGCTTTGTGCACAGGGTCTGACTTTCCCAGCTTGAATTCCTCGTGTCTATTCAGACCATGTCTGACTTCCATCCCAGGCACGTCTGTGTGGCTGCTTAGGGAAAACAAAGCTGGGAGGACGGAGATAACATTGCTGATGTTGGAAATCTGTGCATCCCTTGGTGCTGGGAGATACCTACAGCAAGTAGGGAGCTTTCTATGAAAAATCACAGGTTTTGCTAAGGCTCTCAGGAAAACACTGCTCTCCTGCCAACCTCACATCGCATCAGCGCTTTGTAGACAAGATCTCCCTCTGTGCCCTGCATGGATGGATGTGTTTTTGCCTTGGCCCCACCAAACAGCCGTGAGTCAGCTAATCCAAACCAAACAGCACGGGGAGCGGGAGGTCAGCCCAGTGCACGGCTGTGAACTCAGAAACAGCACCTCGAGCAGAACCAGGGATAAAATCACAGCGCCACGAGCATGGCAGTGCTGGGTGTCAGCGAGGACTGGTGCCAGGTCAGGGAGCACCCGGTGTGACACTGGGAGATGGTGACTTTTCCCATCCCCTCTGCAACCTTTCTATGCAGATGCTTCCCACCAAGAAGCCTCTGCATTCACTTCACCACTGCCTTCTTGTTGCATCCTTCTTATTTTTGGGGTCATTTTCACCCCTGTTTTGCTGGCTTCCCTTTCTTTCTTACCCTTCTCTCCTCCAAAAGCATCCCTTGGACACGCGCAGAGAAAAAAGTCCTTCCAGCCAGCTGCCAGCTCTGCCTTTGGCCTCTTGCTCCGGTTTCATGTTTGACTCTAATCCCACAATTTATACAGCGGAGCCCTGGGCCAAACCCAGCGTCTCAGGAACCTGCCAGAAACCTCAGCTTTTCCTAAGCTCTATAAACAGTTTCCTGCCTCCATCCCTGCACCTGCTGCCCATGCCGTGCTGCCGGCCAGGGATGCTGGTGGCATCCTGAGGATGGTGGTACCCTGGGGATGGTGGTACTGTAGGGATGGTGGTACCTCCAGGAGGGACAGGATGCCCAGGGGTGCTGCTCTGCTGGATGGGATGCCCTGTGCTGCATCCCCTTTGCTCTGCTTGGCAGTATCTGGGGGCTGTGAAACACTCACCCAAAGCCTGAGCAGTGAAAGAGTTCGATTCCTCAGAGCATCTCAGGGCAACCTGGGAGAAAGCAGACAAGGAGTTAGGGGAGGCAGGGACAAGGAGAGACGTGTAGGTGTCCCAGACACCAGCGACAGCTGCTGGTGTGCAATACAATCTTTTGAAGTGGAGCTGCAATGTATTTCTTCATGTTAGTTTCCTTCCCCTATGTTTTCAGAACAACTAAAATCCCAGCGATGCAAACAAGCAGCAGGAGTGGGGCCTGGGGAAAGCACAGAGTGGGGAGATCTCTTATTGTGCTTCTAAAACGCAGTGAGGACACTGCAAATTACGGAGCACCATCTGCTGGCACCTTATTTATTGACTGCCTCTTTCCTTGTGATGCAGCACTGGGGCAGCACTGAAGCAGCTGGGGGCATTATACAAGGGTGAACCCAAAGCACGGTGAGATGAGAAAACCAGTGGGCAGAACATGCTGGGTAAATGCACAGAGGCAAAATCCCACTCGCCCCATCGAGGGCAGGACTTCACCCATAAACCTCATCCTAATGGGGAGTTCAGAGCTTAAATTCATTAAACTGATGGTGTCCTTCCTGAGCGCGAGATTAAAACCAGGAGACTTTGCAGGTCTCTGCTGGCAGCATTCGGGGCTCCAGTCGAACAGGACATAAAGCCATTTCCTCCTGTATAAATCACCTGAATGCTTTTAGCTCACCCCGAGACCCAAAACAATGCTTTCAGCTCAGGTTTGCTCCTTGGTAATGCGTGCTGGCAGCTGGCCCCATCAGTCTCCGGCACAGACATGTAACTCAAGCCTCTGACAAGTGCTGATTTAGAGCTTCAGCCAGTAAATCAGCATAAAATCATCGGAGTGCTTGCTCATATTTTTCCAAGTGGGGCTTTCTCACATGCAAGGCAAAAGGTCCTGGGACCCACTGCTCACTATGGGACACCAACCTCAGGCTGCTGTGTCCTGGACCCTGCAAACTGCTGTCAAATCCCCACAGTGTGCAGGATGGAGATGCTGGGAAAGCAGTGCAAGAGGGCTTTCTGCTGTGGAAGCCGTTTGTGCATGCATGAAGTTGGCACTGCACAGCTTTGGAAGCCCTTTGCAGCGCAGGGAGCTGAGGGTGCACTAGTGGGGTGTGTCGTGCTATATGGGATGATGCTGGGCCACTGTAAACGAGCCAAGGGCTGTGTTTCCCAGCATGGATTTCTCTCCCGTGGGCTCTTCTGCTGGCACTAAAGGAATGGGAAATTTGCAGTACTTCAAAGCCCCTCTGCCACTCTAGGCTGTGTGATCCAAGCCAAAGTGCAGCCCCAATCCATCATCCAAAGAGGGATGTTTGTGTATGTGTGTGAAATGACAGACTGGAGAGACCCGGAGCTGAAAGCCAGATGCTTTCCCCAGAAATAAAACGGGTTAAGGGCTTTAAAATGCAGGAAGAGCCTGTGAAGGAAGCACCACTGCAGTCAGTGGCTGTGACAGCCCTGGCCCTGGGTCCCAGCATCCCAACAAGCATCGACTGCCATCCTCTGTGTGCTGAGGGGAGACAAAAGGACACGACCCAGACCTCTCAATCATTCCACATCAGTAAGACCTTAATGGGGGCAGAGAACTGCAGAAGTCAGCATCCCCCATGGGTTACAGCTAACGCTTCTCCAAACAAACACCCATCAGATGCTGATAAAAAGTTGCTTTCCGTAAACACTCTGTTTATTGCACTGTCCCACTGATTCCTCTGCTGTCAAAACAGAAAGGCAAACGAGAGCAGGGCTGAAACCCATCCCAAAGTCCTACCAAGCTGTGAAAGCATTTGGTGACTTTGTTCCTGGCTTGGATTTCTTTTTTTTTTTTTTTTTTTAAATTGTTTGGATTTGGTCACAAGCAGGAAAAGCTGATCTCATGACAGCTGAAAAAGCCCCGTGAGAGCCTGAGCTGTGAGATCTGATGTCACGCACGGGCAGTCCGGGAGGGAAGGAAACCTCTGTGTCAGCCCAGAAAAGCGGGCAGCTCAGCTCGCCTTGCCTCCAGGCAGCTCTTGGTGGCACGTGGATGCCTGAGGCTTGTGCCTGAATGGTCAGCCCCAGGGAGGGGCTGGGGCTCCCACCAACATCCCATCCAAAACCTGCCTGAGAGGTTGGCACGCAGGCTGAGTCAATGGAAATAGGGTGACAGAGCCATTCAGGTTGGAACAGACCTCTAAGAACATCCCATCCAACTGCTGTCCCACCCCACCGTGCCCACTGCCCACCTCCCTCAGTGCCACATCCCCACGGCTCTGGAACACCCCCAGGGATGGGGACCCCATATTGGGGAGCCTGTAAAGATCAGTGCCAGCTGCCACCCAGAAATGGGGGAACAGCAGTTGTCAGAGAGCTCAGAACCCCCTCAGCTGCCAGGTGCTGCGCTGTGCACACGTGAAGGTGTTTCAGTGCAGGGAAGCATTCAGGCTCAGGCTCTCGTTCCCAAAAGCCGATGCAAAGAATCCTGTTTCACTCTATACACTGCGATTAGCCACGTGTACAATGGGCTGACCACTGGTATGCGTGGCAATGCCAGAAGTAAATGAAACTCCTCCCTGGGGAGAGGGCTCCATTGCTTTTGGCTGCTGAATTTGTGAAGTTTTTTTCACTATTTTTTTCTTTTTTTTCCCCCAAAATGCCTCCTTGGAAAACACCTCTGGATTTTGATGTGAAGAAAAAACAAACCCAACGCTTTTGGTTGTGCAAGGAAAGAAGGAGGAAAAAAAATCATTGATATTCTTGAAAGCTGGATGATTTAACCAAACATGGGAGAAATTGAATAGCATCCACAGCCATTGGATGTGCTTAAAAGAGCTCCGTGAGCCTCCTGACAGGAGGGCAGCCTGCTGACACCTTTCACATGCAATGAGTGCAGCTCACTGCTGCAACAGGAATAAGAGATGGGGAGGGAGCCTGGGTGCTGGGAAGGCAAGGATACAGAGGGCTGTCCCGCCTCAAAGCACTGGTGTGCTGTGGGCTGCCTCTATTCTGTGCTCATACACTGCAAGAAAGGGAGGGGGGCAAAAAGGGCATGAAAGAGAAATGGACAGGAAAGTGAGAAGTGGTGGTTTGCACTCTTTAATTTCCTTATCCAAGTGGAAGCTGCTCTGCTAATGTGTGCAAGGAGTGAATACCTCCAAATCTTCCCAGCAAATGAATAAAACCAATAATATTCACAGAACGTGGATTCGACTGATTTGCCTCCGTGTGTTTGGACTGAGATCTGACAGCTCTGGATCCAAAGGGGAGATCTGTGTTCGACTTCCTTGGCTCTGGATCACACCTAAGGAGCTCGTGTTTGAGCAGCATCACCAAAGGCCTTACCAACACACCTCCACTGAACGTTGGGTCGCTTTTCCCTTTTGGTCCACAAATAAATTATCTGCCAATAAATGGAACCAGAAGTGGCTTGGCCAGATGTTCTGCTGGGGCCCCAGGGAGTTGTGGTGCAGAAAGGGTAAAATAGGAGGAAAGAGAGAAAAAAAAAAAAAAAGAAGGCAAATAAAAGATAAAATATGAACATGGCAGCTCCATTGGCTGCTCAATGCCGGCGTGGGACCCCCGGCTGCAGCAGCTGTGCCCATTATAGGGTGAGGTGCAATGCCCCAGCTGGGAGGCCGTGCCAAAAGCAGGATATGGGAAAAGACCATTTTCAAACACAGATGGATTAAACCTTGATTCCTTTTTAAATGAGATTTTAATGCGCTGGCTGCACGCGGCCGATGGATATGGGAGATGCTGGCTGGACATGAGATGGGTTGGGGTTGAGTGTCCCCAGGGCACCTTGCTGACCCCATGGTCTCCCATGGGAGAGGCACACTTTGGTGTCCCTGTGCTCTCAGCCCTTGTGCTGAGCTGCAAACCCTGGAGCACAACGCTCTGCAACCCACCAGAACCTACAGAGGGGAGATGGACAGATGGAGCAGAAGGACCTTTGATTTTGTTGTGTTTTTCCAGCTGGAAAGAGAAAGAGAAAAGAGAACGTTCCCACAGAGGAAACACTATTTACTTTTTTTTTTTTTTTTTTCTTCTTTTTTTTGCTTTTTTATTGTGGTGGAGCTGAACTGTAACAAGTCACTTTAGCTCTGTTGAACGCAGGATTTTCTCACTTTCCGGTAAACTGCAGTTACCATGGAGAGCTCTGAGACAAGCCAAAGGCAAAACATTGGAAACTACACCCAAACTCACCGCAGCCATATCAAACAGTTAATTAGAAAGGCCGTCCATGTGTTTCCCATTCCCTGGAATGGTTTGAATCAATTGCCCCGTGATTTATCACCTGTTTTCTGTGCGAATGGTTCAGCTCTGCTCTCGTGCATGTGTTGGAAGGGGGATCTGTGCTGTGCAGCAAAGGAGGGGAGGGAGATATTAAGGACTTGCAAAAAAAAAAAACCAACAAAAAACAATCATCAAATAACCAATTCTGCTCCTTCCTCCAGTCTAAATCTCCCCCCGGAATGATATGCTCTGGATTCTGGTGGGATTTCTATCCCTTGGCAACTGAGAAAAAAGGAGAGACAGCTTTTGATTTTGGAGCACGGAGGATTACAGCTCACCGGGCCATGGCAGGGCTGTGCTGTGCAGGGCCCAGATAGGATTCAGTCCCAGCTGCTTCTCTCCCCTTCCCTGTCCCCATCCCTGCATGAAGCAGAGCCCATCCGGATAGGTGGCTGCAGATCCTCATCCCTGGGTTGCATCTCCTTTCCAGGAACGCTTTTCCCCACTTATCTCATGCCTTAAAACCCACAGACCACGGGGTTCCCCCTTGGTGGCCCATGCATCCCGTTGCAACCCTGCTGGCAGGCATGCAGTGATGGCTGATGGGCAGTTGGTGAAGCCTTAATGCCCAGAGCTAAATTCCCAGTTGGGCTTCATCCCCGCTCCCCCTTCACAAGGCATGGGGAGAACACACCTTGGTCCTGCCTTGTGCCAAGAGCTTCAGTGCAGAGTTGGTTTCTCCTAGCATCCAAAAGCAGCAAGAGATGGTTTGGAGGAGATCCCTCTGACCTTCAGCTCTTTCCAAAGCACGCTGA